GCATCAGCAGCGTTGACGCTGGAAGCGAAAGCCGCGACAACGGCGGCGAAGAGTTGGTACTTCATAGTGGAAAGTTATCGAGTCGAAGATAAAGAATGGATAGCAAACACAGTTTGCTGAAAAGAATGACAGGTGATGAATGGGAGAATGAGAGAATGATGCTAAGAACTGGATGATACGGTATCCGGTGGCTGACCCATTCCTTTATATCTCGTAGGATTCTTGGCTGGTGTTTGAAGCACGCCCCACTCACTCTACCTACGGGGGTATGTTCCTTTCGAGCATGCACCTGAACCCTTGACGCCGTTCATCACCGACGGCAGTGGGTATCGGACAATTCGAATCGCTACTAGGACGCGCATACCTGTGCCTGGAGCGGGCGGAAAGATACTTCCACCACCAAGGAGTCATGAACATGTCGGCAGTGCGTAGTTTGGTGCCCATGCATCCATGGATAGGTTGCTTGACGGGCGTTTACAAACAGAATGGCGTTGCGGAAGTAGCTTCGCAACGAGTCTAGTCCCGGCAGTCCCGCTGTTGTCGTTTCATGAACATAACAGGGCAGCCACTAGCTCCACAAAACCGTGCCCGGGCCAGACTCGACGGAAACATATTGATTAAGCTTATCCGACATAAGATGACAGGACTGCCCCTTGCGGGAGGGTAGAAGACCTGGTCTGTGGCTCATGAGGCTGAGCTTTGCGAAATCCCAGGGTTCTGTAGGAGTGATTGTTCCGATAGGTGGAATCTGCAACAGCAACCAGGTTTGTCCGAGAGCGCAAGGCTGACGAGAGATGAAATGTGATGAACAAGAGGAGAAGACAAGACTAATCAAGCATTGCCTGAATCGTTCTTCATCATTGCGAATGTCGTTGGTTGTAGTGGTGACGCGATCAGTTAGCGCTGTCAGCTGTCACGGTTAGCAAGCGCGCCATCTACCAAAGATTCCCGGGTTGCTGGACGCGCAAACTTTCCATCTTTACTTTAAGTTTACTTCCCGGCTATAGAACGGGTGGTGGGAGACAACATCGCACGGACAAGTTGTGATGGTGATGGTGTTGAAGCATCGAAGATGGCGGACTGGTGAGGCTTGGTCCGATGCGACACTAGCGCGTTTTACTTGCGGTTAGACGCCCACCACGTGGTTCTGCATGACGCCTTTCCCTACTCTCCAGTAGCTAGCCACGACAACGAAATGAAGCGACTCGCAGCCTGAACCTCTCCTCTGCGAGACTGCATAACCCAATTACGCAGCTCAACGTCAACTAATCATTAGATCGTGGTGCTTCCACGCGTTTCCCAGCAGCATGTGGGACCAACCACACAAGAGCAGCCGAAGTCGTCAGAAGCAGAGCAGCTCACACCGTGCAGCACCGAGATATAGTAGCCAAGTCCCGCGTAGTTACCGGGATACCCAGCATTCAGAAAACTACGTCTCGTCGCCCACGGATTCGAGCTCGGACTACGACACCCCACGCCGTGGATACTACGAAGATTTACCCCCCAATCATAGGCGACTTGTGAATCGGGCTATGGCATCCGAATACGCTACGCAAACAAGAGAACCAAGGGACGTGTACGGTTTCTCACAGCCTCGCCCAAGGCCTCAACCACGACCATCTGGGCGGCCACAGTATCGGGCTCAGTCTTCAGATCCAGACTGCATCGCACAAGATTCTCAGTCTGACGAAGATTACATTGCCACGCCTGAAGTGAAGAAAGATGCTTGGAAAAATCGTGGGTCTCGCTACGATGACCGTTCCACGGATGATTCCCTGGGCAATGGCTCACCGATCCGCCACCCTTCTCGGGAGAACTACAGTGGTAGTCCCCCCTCAGACTACGCTCCTCATCCCAAAGCCAAGTCCGAAGATCGGAGGGTAAAAGCAGGCTGGGGCAATAGTGATTCCTTCAGCCAACCGCCCCGCCTGAACCCTAAGGAACACGAGAACTACCGCGAAGCAAAGCAATTTCTCGACCGCTTCCAACAGCTCCACACTCATACAACGGATCGGTCCGACACCGAATCCTACAGCGATGACAGCCCCGCGAATCGCAATCCAGTGAACCGCCAAGCTAGATTTTCCGGGCGATACCCAGACCCTGAGCGAGATGATGAAGATGACTACGCGCCAAGTCCACACAATTACCGAGAGAGGCACCATAGCGAACGTAGTCGTTGGAGGGACTCAGAAGAATCTTACCACCGGTTCGAGATGGAAAACCGCCGCAACCGTCGTGAGCCTCGTACAAGGAATCCAGATCCCCGATCTGTCCGGCCCAGTCTACACCGCCCGGGCAGCTCCTTCCATCAGGCCAGCAGCTTCTCAGCTCCTCCTCCTCCTCCTCCAAGACATGTAGACCACTCCCGTCACCGACGCGGGTCAACATACTCAAGCGATGACGACCATGCAACGTACTCCGACCATAGACCTGGCGCCCACACAGCCGCATTGTCAGACATAGCATCTCGACCCAGCTCCTCACACTCCGACCGCCTCTCCCGCGTCCCCACAGCCGTAGACTCAGAAGACTACCATTCGCCACCCCCTGCAGTACCTTCACCACCACCTCTATTCCGACGGCATCGAGATAGCGGAAGCGACTACGCCCCCATGCCCGGCGCCTTCCGAAGCGTGAGTAGGAGTCCAAGTCCCTATGCGCCAGTAAGGGGAGGAAGAAACAGGAGTCCTTACATGTCATCTCCTGTTCGTAGTACACCTGTTAGAAAAGGGAGGGGGATTGGGAGGTATAGAAGTGACAGTGATGATAATGGTGTAGCGGAGGGGAGCGACTATCTTCCTAGTGATAGCGAGGATGATGAGCGGATTAGTGGGGGTGGGAATGGCGTGGCGGAGGGGAGTGACTATGCTTCTAGCGATGATGGGCGGAGTGATGTTTGTGAGAAGGATCCTTGGGGTGCTAGGGTTGCTGGTGTTGAGAGAGCAGGTGCTGGTGGGAGGGCATATGGGAAGATGTGGTGATAACGATGGGAAGGGTGCGCGTGAAGATGATGAGATGAAGCTTGACGAAATGATGTAAATGTGTAACGACTTGGTAATATGATGTTTCTTTCTTATTTCATCCCTAGGTGTGGTGGGACGACACAACTACCATCACATCAGCACCCCATTCATTGCTAAACTAACGTGTGCATACTCGTACACTCGTGCTGCTTCGCCAAATGCATGCCATTCGATATCCAAGCCGAAGCACCTCACTCTGCCATATGATACAATGCCTCCTCCATGGTCTCGTTCATGTGTTTCTAAGCACTGACTGTCGTCGCTTCCGTAGCATCAGGCACACCCGCCTCAGCCAAAACTTGCTCTGGCTTGAGTTCAGCCGTCGACATGGGTCCCTTCGGCCACGGCTTTCCCCTCGCATCCTGAACGCGAATGATCTGGTTCTTCGGTCCAGGCACACAACCTAAAAACAAACTGTTAGCACCAACTCATGTTTGATCGTGATATGCATCTCGTACCTTGAACAACCACAATACCATTCGGCTCGTCAACCTGCAGCACCCTCAAGTTCTTGACCGTTACACTCTCGTTTCCCATGTTACCTGCCATGCGCTTTCCAGGCAACACACGAGAACCCGAACCCTGGGAACCTCCCGCAGAACCCATACCACGATGCATGAGTGATTGACCGTGAGAAGCTGGTTGACCACCGAAGCCGTGTCGTTTCATGCCCTGCACAAATTACCCGTTAGCATTCCATCCCAACTACAGCATCACCCGTCCTCATGAACAGATAGAGATCCAGAACTTACACCAGCGAATCCCATACCCCTACTTATTGCCTTGACATCCACCCATTGTCCCTTTGTAAACCACCCCGCACCCACCATCTCCCCGACACTAACGCCCAGTCCCTCCTCATCCTTAACCTTGAACTCAACAACCCATCTCTTGGGACTCACGCCCGCACCCGCAAAATGACCCAACATAGGCCTCGTCACATTCCGCGCTTCCTTCTGCCCAGCCCCGATTTGAACAGCCCAGTACCCGTTTATATCTCTCCGCTTATGCGCCACGACTTCATTGCGGTCGAGTTGCAAAACTGTGCATGCTGTGCGCTTCCCTGTTTCGGGCTCGTAGATAGATGTCATGCCCTTCTTCAGGGCGAGCAGTCCGGTGCGCAGGGGCGTGCTGTGTGCTTTTCGCTCGAGCGCTGCCGTCGATGTGCTGGTGAGGGCTTCTCGCGCGGGGTGATGTGCAAAGCGGTCGGGTTTGGGACCGAAGGTAGATTTTATGGTTCGGATCGATGTGTATGCGATGGCGGGTCTTGAGGAGATTTGTTGCGCATTTTGCTGGAGGAGGCATCGCGCTGATGTGGGGAGTAGGAAGGACGGCGGTAGTAAGCCCCAATTTAGGGGCGCTTTGGGCGGCATTGTAGTCGTGGTGTTGTTGCGTTGGAGATGCGGCGCTGGCTTGTTCGCCGCGGATATTTTGAGATTCCAGGCCTGAAGCTCAGATTCAGTGCACGGGCCATTCTGCGCACGTGTAGTTCTGTTCACGGCCAAGATCTGAGCTAGGCTCAATGCACACTAGTAGGTCATGGCGGGGTAGGTAATCGCAGTCATGGAACATGCATGTCTACCCGCGAGCAGGCAAATTCAGCATGTCTGTTCAATGAAGTGCAGTTATTGATTGAAGCGACCGCGTGTAGGAGATGTTATGTTTTTGAGCTTTTAGAGCCATGTCCAGCAGGCACAAGGTACCAAGATACAAGGAGACTATACAAGTCAGATACCACCCGTGCTCAACGTACCACTATATACTGGTTCCTCTCTCCCTTCCATAAATAACAAGAAATTTTAGCAATGGGTATCCTCCAGTTGTAGAAACACCGAAACTCCTGCACCACACAGTGGCGCTTAATATGACATACATGACCCATACCAAATAGGTTAACTCGACCCCGGCATCTCCTCAGCGCAACAAAACGTCTAAAAGACAGTAGAAGCGCAAGACGTTGTCACGTTGAACAACTTAGAGTATATTGGTGGCGGGGTTCCCTTGCACGATGCAATTGGCGGGAAAAGACTACGCGAGGTCAGTATAAAAGTGCTTGAAAAAATGTGGTGATGAACTTACGCTTAAAACCACAGAACCCGGACGCACTATGGTGTTAGGACCGATCTGGACTCCAGCCGCGATCATGCAGTGATCACCAATGTACACGTTCTCCCCGATAAGGACCTCCTGCGCAACCTCTGTGCCGCCGTTGCTGCCTTTTGGGGATTTTGTATCGGTCGGCGTCTTCAGAGTCTGTATAGTGACTCGAACCCCAATCTTGCAGTTCCTTCCGATGGCAATCCTCGCCGAGTCATGAAAACGACAATCAGCGCCGATGACGACATTCTCACCCAAACTCAGATGGTAGCCGTAGTCGCAAGCAAAGGGCGCAGCAACATGACAGGTCTCAGCCATATGAGTTTCGATTCGTCTCCCTTCCTCGCCTCTCTTACCCGCGTTCAGGATTTGTTTGAAAAAGTGGTCGACCGTGTGACTCGATAGAACGTTGGAGGGGTTGACTTTGCCGTTGAAATAAGATTGTGCTTGCGCGCTCAAATGACGCTCTTGCATCAAGGCCTTGTCAAAGGGGTTGAATGGCTCTCCAGCAAGCATCTTGTCTTTTTCAGACCTGTACATGGTCGATGTAGACGTCGAGGAGTAGCGTGTCGGTGAACGCGTAGGTGGCAAGGATGTTGGTGGTGGTGGAGGAGGCTGATGCTGCGGTGCCACATGCAGCTGCTGGATAGGCTTGGCGGCCCTAGAAATGTGTTAGCTGATGAAGTCCGAGTGTGTCCAAATTCAAGTCAAAGATCAAACACATGAAATAGACATGATCTGATGTCGAAAAGTTGTTGACAATTCGGTCGGTTCCCAATCAGAAGAAAATACTCACATAGTGGTAGGGACAGCAGTGTTGATAGCGAGGTGGGTCGTGCTTGGCGGAGCATGGTGATAACCACGAGAACTGTGGTGAGGCTGCTGTTGCTGTTGATGCACAGGTCTATGGTCCAGGCTTGAAGGCCTTTCATAGTGGTTGACCGCAGGTTGCATGTACTGTACTGATGGTGGTGGTGGTGGCGGTTCTGGCTGGTAGGCAGCTCGAACTGGTGGCGGTGCAGGCGCAGAGTCACTCCAAGGTTTCCATGACTTGCGATCGATACCATTGGTTGAATGCATCTCAGAGTGTGTGTATGACACTTCAGTGCTATGAGGTGGTCTGCAGTGAGGTGTGTGCGTTTCTTGACAAGTTGGGCACGTAGGGTAGGCAGCGAGCTTGTCCTTGGCTATCAGTGCAGGTGGTTTGGCGGGTCCATTCTTCGGCCAAGGTACCTTGTTGGCATAGCCTTCACAGACAAAGCCACCGCGTGTGCAGTTGTTGCCTGATAGAGGTCAGACTTGGTCAGAACAGGAAGCCATTTTCAAACGTACATTCTGGTTTGGCCTCGTCGCACTTCTTCTTCCTCCTACGGCATGTTCCACAGCCAGTCTTGGTGCGGTTGGCAAATTGCTGTGGAGGTTAGTATTGGTCAGGGATTAGGCTCAGGGTACATACCCGTTTTCGCTTCTTGAGCTCGACCTGTACACCAGCCCGCGTGAACTCAGTCTCTTCGATCATGTCACGGCTAAGAGACTGCGAATCAGGAGACATGTCATTGGTGCGGGTGTGCTCGATAGGACGCGATTCATGGCGTTGAAAATGCTGATGGGCTGCGTGAGGCAATTCACGGGGCTCGGTTTGCCAGCGTCGTTCAGCGTCTGGACGACCTAGTGGAGGCAGAGTCGGTAGTGGAGGGGCTTCCATGCTCATGGTTGTGTTGCGGTTCAAGGGCTGGTATGGAAGTGGAAGTTGCCTGGGGCCAGCGGTCCTCTGATCAGGGCTGTGTTGGCCGTAGGCGTCTTCTTCGGAGCCGGAGCGTCTTCTCTTATTTGGGTGTTCAGGAGAAGACCTTGTCTTGTCTGAGCTATCAGGAGATCGATCTCCACTGCCAACAGTGGACGAACTCGTGTCGCTCTCTGGGGAGCGGGAGTGATGTTTGGGCTCAAGATCTGGGGAGACGGGACTCCAGGCAGAAGGTTTGGCGGCAACGGCTGGCTTCTTCTCGTCGGGCGGGCTCAGAGACAATCGACCATTGACGGAAGTAAACGCAGGGCCATGGGGAGCGGAATTAAAGGCGGGCATATGCAGTATGGTCGACATGTCCAAGGCGGGATATCAGAGCTGGGGTTCAAGGCTGGATAGTCTACGGAGTCAAGTCGAATCTACGGCGGGCTATGGGGAGGGTGTCCAGCGACCATAATCTTTGTGTCTTGTTGGGGTCGTGAGATTCTTTGCAGTGACGATCTTGAGTGATGCCGGGGGCGATGTCGTGGTTACACTGTAGCGTACTCGGAGTAAGATGAGTTCAACGGTCAGGTCAGGCACCGTGCGGGACTCGACGACTGGTGGCCCGGGAGTCGTCTGTGCTCTTCAGAGTCAGTGTGTGCGTAGAGGGAGGATCCCGGGGTTGGCAGCGCGGGCGTGGTGTCGTTCGGGCGATGCGATGCCAGCGAAGCCGCCTCTCCACGGCGGGGGCTGTATATGGCGGGAAGACAGTATATGGCGCGACGAATGTGGGAGGGGCGACCCGACGCCAGACGCTGGCCACGGATGAGCAACAGGATTCAACGGAGGGCGGCTGTTCGCTCCTTCTGCTGGCGCACACATGGGCTCTACACATCCCGGGCGGCCACCCATGTCGTCCCTTCCTCATTGGCCCGAGCTGCAGGCGGCCCCTGCCCCCCGCGTTTATCTGTCCCACCCGGGCTGGCACAGAACCATCACCGAACACCTCGTAGAAGGACCACAGACGCGGTTCCTTCGACTATCTACATAATAGACCCTGCATTTTGGCCGCTGCCACGTTTTTTTGGCGGAAAAGTCGCGTCTACAGCCCTACAGCCGTTTTCTGGGTGTGAAGGAGGGTAGAGTGGGCGGAGAGGCCTCCAGGATGGCACAGACGGCTGCGTGCGACCAGCGCTCCCGGCGTGCTGGCATGCGAGGTTGATCGACCAGGAATCGTTAGAAGGATGCAAGCCAACGCGGAAACCTCACATTAAAGTGCTGTGTCGTTGTTATTGGCGCTGCCCAAACCTTAGCTTATCCACCTGCTCCATCGCCAAACGCAGTAGCCGCGCTGCACGCCCGCGCACCACCAAACTCTTCACCAGACCGCGGCACCGCAGCCTGCCCGACACATAGCGAGCACACAAAACAGTGGCAGCCCCCGCCTGACGGCGCCCGCGACGCCTGCGATGACGGCTGCGAATCACTCCCTCCTCACCACCACGCGCTGCGTATCGCCCGGCCTCCCGCGCGCTTCCATCAAGGGGTGCCGTCATGGCCCATCGGCACTGCCTCCTCCTAACCGCCTGCTCAGAGGCCTGCTGGGTGCCTGCCTCCGCCGGTTTCAAGGCCAGCACCAAACAAGAAGGCGCTCATGGGTCTCGCCGTGTTTCATTTATCAGATCCACGCCGCACACCTTCCCACCACGCCCACCCGTCCTATGCCCTTAGCATCATCAATATGCTCGGCTGCGGCACTGCCATAGGCCTAATGCTTGTGCTGCGCTCCATGTCCAAGTCGCGAGTGCCACTGTCTGCTGCGTGATACCCTCCATGGTTGGCTGCCCGGCCCGTCTCGTACACCTTCATCTATGGGCGCTTCGCGTGCAAACTTTGCTCGCCAGGAACCCGCCCGCTCAATATGGTCAAACCTCCACCACTACATACGTCAAGAGCCGCGATGTCTGTCCTCGGCTAATTGGCAGGTGCGCAACTTACCCGTTGTATGCTGTACGGAGCACTGTCTGACTCTCACGCGTTGCTCGACGATCGGTCATGCGTCTGAGCAACCCCGGTGCGTCAGCCAATAGCACCTCACCAGTTTCGCCACGCATTGCACACGAAATAACGCCTCGTTAAGCGCGGCCGTTTGTCGGCTGCGACTTGTCGTTGTAACTCACTGCAAATGTGGTTCGAGTTATGCGTGCGCAGCTTGTTCACAATTCCATCAGTCCGTCTCGCTGGTTCTCGCGGCGCGTTCCGTTCCCGCTAGCGATCAGACAAAGACCTGGACCTGCGCCGCAGGCCGTACGGCATTGTCCTCACAGCTGTGCCGCCCGCTGGATTTCCAATCCGCTGGATTCCAAGAACGGCTCAGCCCTTGCCATGGTGCTCACGGAGCTGACGTCTGCTCTCTCTCAGCCTCGCCTCATCCTTCCGCTATATGACTCGAGTAGCGACGGGAAGCGCGGAACAGCGCGCTTGTCACCAACGTCTACATACGCCGCCCACCTCCGTGCCAAATCTCGATTCTCCATTCATATTGATTGTGGAGCGCCACCTTCCGTGACCGACCTGACTGCGATGATGCCTTACCGGATTATGCATTCATCTGGACCTGTTATGCAAACTCACATGATCACGCCTGCTGTTGACGTCGTCGCTGGGTCCCAAAACAAATACCCACGGTCGCACTAACCCATCACGAGCATTAACAACATGCAACAGCTCAAGACTGCTCACCGCGGTACTCGCGCTCTTTTCGCCGAAGAGATCCGGCAGTTCTCCAGACACGGCCTCACCGACAGGATCCGAAGGATTCCTCTTCGGTAAAGTGTTGCGGCATGAGTCGAATGTGGTCCAGTTTTTGTGTAGTGTGCTATGCTCAAGCTTGACAGCTTCACGACACCAGCAACCTTTCTACACTAAGATTTTCAAACCACAAACCGATACTCGATTGCCACGTTGGACATGTAGTCCAGCAACGGTGCTTCGCGCAATCTACCCATTTGGCCATTGCAGCTCGGGATGCGAGCATGCCGGGCTGCGGCACAGTTCGTGAGCAATTCCGATTACGTATGCGGCGTTGGCAGGATGCATAGACCAGACGGATTACCAACGCACCTCCCCGGCGTGAGTTTTTGGGATCGATCAAGAATTTTGATGTACTGGCGAGGGAACTACTGGTGAACTCATCGTTTCCCGACAATATGGTACCGACTGTTCGCTTCAACCGATTCCGCAACTTTCGCATCAGACAACGACTACTGAGAACTGCGTTTCTAGCGAACGGATTCGGAGCAAACTGGTGTAACGTACTGGATGCTGATTGCAGGATCGCGCGCTAGTACACGACGATTACTCCGAAGTCCGCCCTTTTGCAGCCAAACGAGCCCTTCCAATGTTTACGCCCGGCAGGTGAACAGCACGCCAGGCTCCCGGATAAGCAAAGCCTATCGACATATGTAAGGGGTTATTTACGCCCTGTCCGTGCCGCATTTACCAAGCTGTCGGGACATGCGGTGATGCACTTTGGAGACGAGCATACTTTAGCATTCACCTCGCCTACTCGATTTGGACAATGCCATTCTGACACCAAGAAGCAAGATTATTGAAACATCAATTACACGACCAGCTTCGACTACGATAAAACGTCATAGTCTCTATGCGCTGCTTGACGTGGGCGAGTCAGCGCTTACCGAAGCGCTTAAGGTTTCACAAGATGCGTAGACAACTGCCGGCCGCGTTGAACCGACATCCTCACTCTGGCGACACGCGGTGTGACGGATCCGCATAATGTGAGATCTCACCCGCGCATCGATCGTCCAATCAAATAGGAAGGACGTCCGATTCTACCATTCTACGTTCCGGGTATTGATCGTTGGTGTCGCCGTCATACCGAGCATCCGAAATATCACTTGGGGTTGCAATTCTCAGGATCGGGATTCTGTCCTCAGCGAAGGGTTCAAAGCTGCGTGTTCGCTGTTTAGCATATGCTGACTTCAAGGGATATCCTAACAATAGAGAGTCGGTCCGAAATCTGATTACAGATGCGATAGACGTACGATACAGACGCGATGCAGGTTCCCAACATCTGTTGGTACCCAAATATGACACGCCATTACTCGTCACACCGCCAAAGACTGAGCATTGTCACCGGACACTTGGGAGGTGTGGAGACGATCATCAGATAGGCAATTAGTATATGCGGTGTTGCAGCTCATTGTCAACATCCTGGACAACACTAACGGCGTAGCTTAATATAGAACGCAACGGTATTCGGCAGCTAAGTAATCCGTTCTCCAATGTCAAGGGCCGACTCATTGTCGGGAACACCATACCATTAGTCAGATGGTTCGAGGAATTCTCCTAAAAAGGGCATGCGCAAGTTTACCATCGACACCCTGTCATAGGCTTTTCATATCGCCAACTACTTTAGTCTAACACCCGAAACTCTCTGATTTCCATTACTCATATGCTAGGTACACATCTTGTCACCCTATGACACTTCCTCGCCATCTATGAAGCGTGACACTCGACTTGATTACCAAACCAATGTACTGCCATCAAACGAGAATCTTGGTCCTTCGGACATGGCCATGCTCTGCTCCCAACAGTAGTCTTGGACGATCCCTAGCGGTAGGGCTCAAACGCTCGCTACCTCCACAATGAGCGTCGCTTTGATTTCACAACGGAGAAGTTGATCGAACGCTTCATGCTGTTCCACCACCGATCAAAGTTATGATCGTGCTCTCTTCTCCCAGAGGATCCCCTCCATTACTGTACCGTCTGCTTCTCACCCAGCTTACATTTCAATGCAGACGAACATCGGCAGCATCTTGTATTATCTTACTCCTGTAGCTCTCATCATGCATGCCAAATCAGCCAAGCAACAAGTCTCAACTCAAACAAGATACCGTAGCATCTCCCCGTACTTCCGTACTTCTCATCACAAACTCCAAATGGAAACAACACCAATTAACGTTCCATTCAAAAACTCTTAGTCGATATGCCATTCGATGCTATTTACTCCTCTCTCCTTCCCTTTCCTTCCTCCCTATCTCACTGTCTTTCCCACCAACCCACATAATATACAAACCGTCTTACAAAAAGGGTTTCCCACAAAGATCCAAATTTGGGGGGTATCAGAAAAATGCGCGCTCTTGTTTGCTTGCTTCGGGGGTTTGAAAGAACAAAACGAGAAGTGAAAGCCCTCCAATCCTGCCATTCGTTCTCTCTATCTGTCTTTGCACACTTGTCATCCGTGTGTGTGTGCTCCAATGTGGGTATACATGCTCTTTGGTATGCTTGCCCTAGTTCCTTGATGCTGCAGCTTTGGTGTCTGCTGCTCTTCTCTC